TACATTTCTAAGATATTGTAAAAATTCTTTAAAAGAACGAGAAGTGTTCGGTACGGTCAAATAGAGAAAGATGCAAAGGGTAGACAGGAAAAGTATCACGGTGCAGAATAAACATGTGACTACGAAGGCTAATCTTGAAGCCGTACGATAACGCGGAAAGATAACGTCAGTCCGGACGTGAGAAGAGACCGTTACAAGAAACATGATGTCGCCAAATTCACACTGACCATCGGACAAACAAAAGAAATGCTTATATTACTTTAGTCACACTTTTTATAAACAGCAGAAACATCTTTTAATTTAATTAGAATGTGAATAATAGAGAGAATTGATCAGAAAAATATCAAAACATCAAATGAACATAATATAAAAAATAAAGAATCGTAAAAAAATAATTGATTTGCATGCGTGAAAAGTTATTTACATTTCTAAGATATTGTAAAAATTCTTTAAAAGAACGAGAAGTGTTCGGTACGGTCAAATAGAGAAAGATGCAAAGGGTAGACAGGAAAAGTATCACGGTGCAGAATAAACATGTGACTACGAAGGCTAATCTTGAAGCCGTACGATAACGCGGAAAGATAACGTCAGTCCGGACGTGAGAAGAGACCGTTACAAGAAACATGATGTCGCCAAATTCACACTGACCATCGGACAAACAAAAGATTATATAATTCTTGTCGCAGTTAGTCTCTACGGCTATCAAAAAAAAAAGAAAAATAAATAATCTTGGGCGATTCGTTACCTGCTTTTTTATATAATTTTCCGTCATGTTATTTTTTATGCGATTCTAGAAATATAAATTTCAGAGAATAAATCCTGTCTCTCCTCATATCTATAAAATTATGTTACTATAAATTTTTACATTTCTGGCGCTCACTTAAGGATGTATGTGTCATATGTCAAAACATTGGCAAAACTATGAAACTTTCGTAGGCTGTTCTATTATTTCTTTTGAGTATCTGTGCAAAGCCTGAGTACAATTCTCTTAACGGTTTGGAAATTATTTAAGTTTAAAGTTTGCATTGATTCTTATGAAAAGTCGCGTATTGTAACACTTATTGACAAATCTGACAAAAAAACATTGCCAGCAAAATAAAAATTTTCATATGTATTGACAAAACTCTAATAAATATTTGTGCAAAACTTAATTTAGATTCATTTATTTGTTTAAAAATTATTTATTAAAAATTGTGGTATTTTTATTTCTTCCAGTTGATTTCAGGGGATATTCACGACCAAAAGTTTTTATCATAAATTAGAAAAAATATTAGTTACGACTATTTTCTTTTATGAAGACGTTAAAAACCATATTATTTTGTGATATTTTAATTATAATCCAGATATATTTATTTAACTTACCAAACAGTATAAACGTACAAAATTCGTTTTTTTTTTTATTTTTAGTTTTTTGTTACTATTTTATAATCAGACGTCCTTAATTATCATTTATCATGTTTTCTATCATTTTTTCAATTATCCCAGCTACATGAAAATTAACCGATGAATTCGATGATAGTTTATCGAGCAACGAGGCGATACAATCGTCGATGCATCAGAATGCGTGACGCACATCGATGCTCTTAACTCGCGGATTCTGATTCCGATTTCAGGCTGGCGCTTCGATATTTACCCGCTGTGGATGCTAACGATGCCGATAGGTTTGCGCGGGTTTGCGCATAGCTCGCATAGCGTTTATTCACGTTAACGAGGCCGTTAAACGCGGCGAGATGTAACTCCCACGGAATGTGACGTGCGCGCACATAAGTCCCAAAACGAGGGAGCGCGACCATATATCTTGCGATATATATCATGTGTCGACACCAATAGCCTTTTACGTAACAATGTATCTCCTAATTGGTTCGAGACGACGTGGGCCCTCTCTTTGTTACGCGACCCTTAACGTTCATTCGGTCCTCGACTGACCCACTGTGACACATATACGGTGGCTTTAGCGTGAAAATGATCGGCCTTTACGATCGACGACCTCACGCCCGTTGTTTCGTTAAGCTCTCGACAGAAGGGCATTAAAATATAGAAGAATTTCGGGAGCTCCAGGGTAACTTTGGCATTCATCGTGAATTTTAAACTAACACGACTCTACGCAAAAGTATTAAAAAATCCTCTTCCATTTCATGTAATTATTTTTTATATAAATATTTATTGCGCTATCATTTGGCACAGTCTAGAATCAATTAACGTTCTCGCAGATCAAGTTTGCTACAAAATATTACACACAGCGGAGTAAAATATTTTTCTCGTCAGAGTTCTACCTTATACATTTTTCTATCGCATATGTTTCACGTGGAAGCGTAATATCGAGTGTAATAAAGTAAAAAAAAAAAAACAGCTGGAAGAAACAGATCTCACGACGAGATCGCTCGTCAGCGCCCACGCCGGAAGTGGTCGCCGCCTCGTGACACGTGTCGAAAGTCGACCCACACGAGTGTCGCGATAAAGAACGCGATCGCGAGAGCATCTCGATATGAATCGAAAACACCTGCGGCACGCGCCCGGACGTTCGAAACGCAACGCGACGCATCTACACGTGCGTTGTTCCTCTCCTCCTCACCCCCCCCCCTTCGAGTTGCGATGACGTCAGAAATGCATGGAGACGAAGGAGAGGAACAAAGATAATTCCACACGCACGCGGGAGGTCGGACGACGAAAGAGGCTCACGAAAGGAACGACGGAAAGTGGGCCTTAAATGACGCCTGATTGGCGAACAATACGCGCCGCATTCTTCCGTCGTCTCGAGTTCGGTCCCATTCACGAGATGCACTTGTTTCATTGAAATATTTATAATAGGCCGACCCGGTGAGATAATGCAGAGAGACCGATGCCGTTCTTTGTGCTTCATCTTTCCTCGCGTCGATCGCGAGATTACGAGACACGGGGTTGTTAACCCCGGCGGACTCACCGTGTCGAGCCTCATTTATTCATTTACGTCTCTGCTATTGAATTTTATTTATTCGCACACATTAGAGTTGTTCATCGAGTTATAACTGTAAAACTGTATAACTGTAAAGAGTTTACGGATAGTTATCGGGCCATTGTAATATGTGACATTACAGTGCACACAAGTTTCTATCAGCCGGAGAGAAAGTATCTGCGCGCGATTATGTTAATCTAAAATTTGGAAACTTAATTATTATTTTACAAATTTTTATCCCTCATCCTAAATTATTTTCTCGTTAGAAAATCGAAGACGAACTGTTCACCACGATATTCCTTTCTCTATCGAGCAAAGTAGTTAATAGCTTTTGCAGGATTCCAATTTAATTCTCGGGGAGACGTAATCCTCATGAAAGATTACGAAATTAATCCCTGAAAAGATCGGAACCACACGCAAGGCCGATGGATCGACGGAAATACGTTTCCTTCCCGTCGATATCTTCGATCGAAAGCGACCCACGCACGTCAAATGCAACGTGTCATTATCCCGTCGCTAATTGATTAGTTAGGACAGTCGTCCAACATATGTTGGTCATCTTTACGGTTCTATACGAGAGCTCGCCTCGCCGCCCTTAATCCGTGCAGGGTCCGAACGCGAGCAAGGCTCCCCCCTCCCTCCCCGCGTCAACCGTTGTATATTGCACAACGTGTAATTTGCGGACAAAAGAACACGTTGTTATACCGCTGCTTACGATATACCAGCTCATTGTTGTGCGACAACAATAAAACGGCTCTTGACGTAGTAGTGGCCGGGTATACGCTAGGTGAAATATTCATCGTCATTGGGATTACTATTCTATGAGCCGACGGTGTTAGGCGAACGTGAGAAATTACAGTGGCTGATTACTTACTGATGAATCGGACACCGTAAACGAGCCGTACATAAATGGAAATCATAGTACGAGTTGGTATTCATTGATTAAAGAAGCGATCGATATAAAATATTATATAAAATTATTATAGCATAAATCCGACAAATTATGTCTATTGCATCCACTAGATTTGTAAAGCAACAATTAAGGGATATCGACATGAAAAACGCACTAGTAGAAAGATAATAATTGTCTAACAAAAATAATCTATCTGTACCTTACATTTTTTATTTCTGCGATCAATTATGATGATCCGGGACCGGATGTCGGCATAAAATTCCGATCTTCTGCTTCACCTGCAGAAGAAAATCAAAACGTTAGATACAATTAACGGGATATCATCGATTCCGATGCTTTCGACAAATCCGTTCCCATGAAATTAATCTTCCGGCCGGCCGAGATCGCCATCCTGTTAAGGCGAGACTGCTTCAAACGATGCGACTAAATCCACGATTCTGGATCTCGTAATCTCGTGGGGGATGATCCAGGGAGGAACCGCACCCGCGTATTGCGAGAATCTTTGTAGGTAGGTATCTCGCGCGGATCGATTTGTCCGTCGATTAGCTACGGCCGGTGCATCGGTCCGGCCTTAAAAGACCGGTGAACTAGCCTCGGCTCACCCCGACGAGATTTTCGGGGTTGTTCGCACCGACGCCTTTTATCCGGTCACTTTTGCAACGCATTACATTGCACCGGATTCAACGTGGAGAAGAAAAAGACGGCGTGACCAATCGCGTGGGAGTAAAAATTATTTTTTAAAGCAGATGTTTTATCGCAACTTTATAATTATTCGTCTCGGTACTTCCTTAGTTCATCTTCACTCTTCTTTTTTTTTCGATAGTGACAATGTAAAAAACAATTCAAGATTAAAAACGATATTATAACAATCCCGATAAAGATCTTTTTAAACGGAAATCGACCAGAATATACGGAAAAAATATTATTTGTACGAGCATATTTTTATATTATAATTTATATCAGCAACAAATGTACAATGTCAGTAACAAATGTCACAAATACAAAACATCACAAATGAAAATAACATATAAAAACATTTTGTCGATTTATGCAATATATATCCGTACATTTTACACGATTATCGTTCGTTTCTCTAAAAATTATATAAAGAGGATGGCAGAGAGAGAGGGAGAACATCTCTTCTCGCATTTTAATTTAAGAGTGCCTAATGACTTTCGGTATAGGTTCGTCGGCAAGATACCGCCTTTTCGGCGACCACGAGGTCGGTCTGGGCAATTTAGGTACCGGATCCGATTGTTTGCGATCTCTGCCATGGGTCGAAGATCGTCTTCGTTGCCGTCGTCGTCCTTTAGTTGCGGTCGATCTGCTAGATGTCTTTTTCTTACCACTCTTCTTTTTCTTCTTTGTCCTCGTGTTTCTCCTAGCAATATTGTGTCTCAAGTTTGTAGTCTGATGAAAAACGGGATCAAATCTGTCAAAACAATATGCATATATAAAATGCTGAAAAAAGGAATGATATTGAATCATCGAAATACTTAAGAGGTTTAATTTTTGCGCAAATATTGCAATCATTATCTGTCGCATATACAAGGTAACATCCCTTTCTAATAATTAATAATTTATATAATAATTTATATAATAATTCATATGATAATTAACATAATTTATATAATATAATTATATAAATACATTATATTATAATATATATTATGATATATGTATATTATTATTAAAAGTTTATTATTATAAAAAATATAAAAATATAATTTATATAATGAAACCTTTTTTAGTAATTTTAATTTTAGAATAATAATTTATGTATTATTTTTTTTTCCATGAAAATTATCGCTTTCTATGATTTGTAATCGTTTTCAGGTTATACTGACATGATTTTCATATATGATCATAATACTCGAATTTAATTTACACTCAAAATAAATATAATTGTAAAGAATTTATCGCGTTAGGGAATTTATTAAAGAATCGTAGTTGCTTTCGCACAGACGGAATTATACAAATTTCGCTTGTAGATTTTTCCCTCAAATTATTTCAGTGGAGCTTTCGCGTAAAAGAGATACCTGAATTTATTTCGCTTTTTAACGAGTATTCCGAAATCCAGACCACGACGCAGAGCGACGGCGACGTCTCTCTGAAGAGTTTTGCCGGCCGTGATGTTATAATTCTCGCTGATGTGCGTTGTAATCTCCTTCTGAGAAAAGCCATCGGGTGGCTGCTCGGTGCGAAGCAGATCGTAAACGAGGACAGATCGACGCACCATTCTTGCTATCGGCGTAACTTATCACGAGAATATTTGCTATAACCGGACATAACCAGCCGATTCATAATAAAGATAAAAACCTCCAAGCTCGTTGAAGTTTGATGCATCTATCATAAATGACAAAGTTCGCGAAAACACGCACATACATATATATAAAAGCATATAATTTCAAATATATAAATTATTATATAATTAAATATATAAATTATTATATATTAATTATATAAATGACACTTAAAGTTCTGCTAATAACGCAATAATTAATTTTCTAAAGATACTTTTTATCCTTCTTCATAAGATATTTTTTGACCATATAATATCTCTAACTCATCCTTATATTCTACAAAAAGTAGAGAACCTTACATTAAGTTAGTGGTGAAAGGCTTTGATATTGAATATCCATAAATAAGGGAGGAGCGGGCTAATTAAGAGCCAAGCGCTATAAACGATGTACAAATTCTTCTTTCTTGTCAAAATTTATTTATGTAGAAAACATTTCGAGAACTCTTTTGGCTGAGGATGGTCCGAAATCAGGACCGAAAATAAAATAATAAATTAATTTTTTTCTCTAAAATAATAAATTTAACTTAGTTAATAAATTTAATAAAATAAATAAATTTTGACAAGAAAGAAGAATTTGCGTATCGTTTATAGCACTTGGCTCTTAATTAGCCCGCTCCTGTCTTATTTGCGGCTTACATTAAGTGTCACGTGTCATTGGTAGCGTAATTTCTATTGATTATCATCATTATCTCCGTCGCGTGCATCGTGCATAATGTCCAAATGGCGAACGCGACATTTGTGTATCGATCTGCGTATTTGCCAGCGAGTTTTTATATATAAATCAATATCTCCTTCGCCCATGTGTAACGCGCTCCTTCTCAGAACATATATATGTTTTATATAAGATTCAAAATATATATATGTGCACATATATATAATATGTATTTACATGTATGCGTGTGTATATATATATATTCAATACACATCTTTTAGAACTCTCTGTTCCGATGCTTGGAACAGCCCGCTATTTGCCAAGAGGGATGCGGAGAGTTTAGAAGGAGCTCGGGGTTGAGGCAAGGAGGGTTGAGGCCTAAGCCGGAGAAAGAGGGGGAAGGCGGAAAGAGCGATCTCGCGGTATCTAGAAAGAGAGAATCCGTTTGGAGATGGCCGGCGACTCTGATTTCCGTCGGGAGTTTCGTCCTATCGAAGCGGAACAACCGAGGCGAGGCCGCCTTTAATCATTCGATTGCCGACGCTCCAGAGAGATCCTTTTATCCGCCATCCATCGGCGATGCCGATATCCGGGATACGGCAGCATCCGCGCGCGCTGGCTGTTTGCTTATCATTCTGACGATTGGACGTCGCGGAAAACCAACGGCGGATTAATCCGCGGCGTTTTGCCGCGAGAGCGGAGATTTACATCCCAGCGAGCGTTTATTGTGCCCACTCATCTGTGCAAGGTGTTTCAAAACCGTCGATTTTTTCTGATGGTAATTTTTTCAAAAATTATTGTCCGATAATATAATTGACAACACAATGTTTTTAATCGATTACTAATTTATAAATCGTGAACCTTTTTTAAAAGTGACTAAACTGTACCTTTTAATTTGTAAAATGCAAACTTTCTAATTGCAAATAATTGCGAGAAATGAAAATATTTTTATATGAAAAACGAAATGTCAAAGATCACTGTTTCCCCGATTCTCTTCTTTCCTTCTACCAACTGAATGTTACGTAGCAGCATTAAGAACAAAAAGAAACGATGACCTTATTGTATTAGCAGCGTCTGTAAAATACATATATTTGCGCAGATTGTTAAATATTAGGTCTAAATTACTACTTTTTTCCGTCCCGTTGAGTAGCCCGTGAAGTTTTCTGCTGGAAGATCGAGGATTTCTCTCAATTTTTCCGAGAAGTTCTTTCCAAGAAAATTGGTGCGGAAACATCGACTCCTTTAAAAGGGCGCTATAACTGCATTCTATTTTCATAATTACGAACGCTGGCAGTTTCAAGAGGAGTTAACCTGAATTTTTTTGCCTAGAAAATAAAATCTATAAATTATAAAATAAAGTAATTTAAAATATATAATTAATTAAGATCCGTATTTTGATCACACACAGTTATATTTTTATTTCAAGTCTCGCTTTTTCAAGTTGTACTATCCAAAAGAATCTTTTATTACTACTTTGCTTTTTATTATCAAAAGAGCATATGATAAAAAAAGATAAATTATGCAAACAATATACTTATGTAAAAATATAAAATTCATTTATTATACAAGGTGTCCCCAATTTAAATGTCAAAACTTTAGGAATGTGTGGGGGACTGATAAACTAAGACAAAAAGTCCTTTAGAGATTTGCTCGTCTTATCGGTCCCCTACACGCTCCTAAAGTTTTGACATTTAAATTGGGGACACCCTGTATAATAAATAAAATTGTGTGCAAACACAGATTGTACTTTAAACTGATTTGAACGTCAAATAATATGTTTCGAGAACATCAAACCATTGCTCTGACTAAGTTGAATGAAACGCGACAGCAATGTTCGAGGAGCAATCGCGATCCTTGAACGAGATTGACCTCAAAACCCCGTCGGTTTGTCTTCTCTTTTCTACCTCGCGGAGGGTAAGCGTCCCGGTTTCCCGGGTTCCTCCGTGCCTTTTTCCAATTGTGCCACCCCCGGTGAAGTCCTCCAAGTCGCGGCAAGTGGATTATTGACGGCACGAAACAATGGCGTAGCTTTGTTCGGCGCGCTCCCGCGCGTAATATGTGTTCGACGCACAGAGCACGTCTGTCCATCCGTCAGTTTTGTACGTCACGAGTGGCACCGGGTATAAGCCGAACGAGTGGCCCTTCGTACCGGGTCGAGTCAAGCATCGTACGGTACATCTGGCTGTCTGATCGGTGTTTATTAAAAATCATACGGAACTATAATCGCCCGCACATCCGATCTGCTGCGTTTAGATGCGGCTGTTAACCACCGCGGTACCGAATAAAAACTTGATATCAAAGAGATTACGTGTATGTGTGTGTGTGTGCATATAAATACTGCTATATATTCTTAAAATTATTTTTTATTAAAAAAAGAACTCATGTTATTGCTAATACAATATTAAATAAAATGGCTATTATAAAGGCTCTTGAGAGAGAGATACTATACTTATAAAATAATACATTTACATACAAGAGACATACGAAAAGCGAAAAGAAAAATATAAATATAAATTAAAAATTTGAGGTACCAAAGGGTAATCATATTTTTTTTTTTTTTTTGCAAGTGTATAAACATTTTTAGCTTATAATACACAATGGAAATGATAAATAAGTTATTCTTTTTTTCTCAGGGGTTTTATATGATTCAATTTAAAAAAGGTATAGAGATTACAAACGGTTAAAAAACAATATTCGTGCATACTTATCAATACTTGTACAAAGCAAATAGCCAATGTACAGACGGGCGTTCATCCGACAATCGCAGCCAACTCTAAAATGGTCCGAGAAGACACACACACACATAGATATACAGAAACGCAAGAGGAACAAAAGTCGAATGCAAAACTTATGGTATGAATCACGAACGAAATGTATCACTTCGCTTTGGTGAAGCCATTCGCCAAAAGAGCTGGAAGTTTAGCTCGGAGAGGAGTGTCAGCTTCATCCTTACAACATGGGAGGAAGAAGCTTCCTGCGACGATTTTATTGGTCTTTCTTGAAAGAGGCAGCAGCCGGTTGTTCCCCCGGAGAGATGGGGTAGCACAAAGCGGGGCGGGAGGCGTTCGGGGTGAGTTAATTCTCCGACCATCCCTTCTCAAGTTTTGATTTTTGATATGACAAATTCAACCTTAGAGATAACCGCGATATTACGCGATTTTGCCTTTCACGTGGATGTCTTCTATACGTTTTCTAAAAGAAAGAGTTATTTCTCGAAAATTTTCAGACATTAAAATAAATTTTTTTTTATCAATTTAGTTCGAAACGAACAAATACATGTAACAAAAACATATTCTTCTTAGTTAATAATAAAGATCAAAATGTCGGATATTGGAAAGCAAGAAATTATGAAAAGAAATGCTCCATAAAATAAATATTTCGTTAAAAAAAAATAGATTTCAAATTAAAAAAAAAAAAAATCCAAAATGAAACTTGTATAAATTTCAATTTATCTTGTGGAGCGCTGAAGAATTAATTGCATATCCAATATAGCGTATTATATATATCTTTTCTCTTTACTAAATTACAATGTACGTGGAAATTATATGGAGTGTTTGCCGAATGCCAAGGCAAATCGCAAGAAATATGCTCGCTCGTGAAGGAGAAATCTCTGTGACGGTAAGGAGTCGTGTACCGCTGGGAATGCCGTGGTTTGGCCATGGTGAATTTTGCCATGGAGGTCGTGATCCAACGTGCAAACAGCCCTATGGGCAGAAGCTTCGATTTGGTATCCACCGATGTCGACTATCGTGCATCCCCCGGGGCGCAAAAGCGGTGCTCACCATCGAAATAAAGTCCCGAGATATGATGCTCGAAATAGCGCGCCGAGATTGCTCTCATAACGATGTTTTCGGCTGTAGTTTATGTTTTTGTGCAAATTATTGGCAATATATTTTTCTAGACAGGCCACAGAATAACAAACATATATACATATATATCATTCTGTGCGTAATAAATATCATATAATTTTATTTTTAAAATAATAATATTACCAGAAAGAAAAGGACTGTATATCGTTACTGTATTTTAGAAGAATGATTAAATATCGCATCGCGCAAAAAAACCTGAGCAACTAATTTTTTGTTTCTTTAAAAAGCAAAATAAGATAACATAATCCGGTAATTATAAGCATTATTGCAATATTGTGTATTGCATAAGACACATTAAATAAAGCAATATTTTCTACGCGCTCGCGATTCATAAATTTCGCAAATTAATATTCCACGGTCTAATTAAGGAACTACGCAATCTTCTTGAAAACGCGACGTCACTTCATCTCCGACAA